TCTGATTTTAGATGTTATCAGGAGTAGCTAGCTAGCCAGCTTTCCTCACGTCGGCGTTTACTAATATGTCTAGCTGAACGTGACAGGAAGGGGTGCAGTCCGCACGCGCGCGCGCACACACGCAAAAGGGTGGAATTCATGATTCCACAATCATAACCATCCTCCTATCCATAATACCAGAATATTGGACCAAATACAGTATTTATTAAGAATTCTCCTTCAAATTCTTTCTTTTGTGCAGATCAGTTCATTTGACCAGAACTGAGGCTTTTTATTTTAATATCTAAAAAGCACAAAATATCAGCCATGATTCCTGCTCTAACTTGGTCACTTAGAAGACCAGACATCAGTGCCAAAATAGCTCGCCCACCTACATAGACTCAACAACTCTGTTTGTCCAAAGTTTACCTGGGGGAAGCACTTACATGTCCAACAATCTTATCTATCTATCTATCATCATATTTTTAGGATTGAAAAGCTGTTTTCATTGCAACTTCTCAAGGTGGCTTTTAAAAAAATCTAAAAGAAAGATAAATGATTCTTTTTTCATTTTTTTTTTCCCATTTTGGTTCAGTCAATAAATGAACATGTTTTTTTTCGAAGAATTTACATCTTCGTACAAGTTCCTTGGCTGTGTATTTTTATCCTTTGAGACTGTCTATTGAGAAGGGTCACATCTTCCCCCTTTCCAGCCATCTTTCTATGCTTAGTAATTAAATACAGTGTAATGGATATGGGCACAAAAAAATGGTGTTCAGTGATCCAAGTTCAAATTCTGGGCTAGTCTGTTGCATACCCTTGGGAAAGGCATGAATCCATCTCTCCCCATCTATGGAGAGAAGAGACAGATTTAAATAAATAGCAGGATTGACTGAGTTCTCTTGCATTAAGTGGCATCCAGTCTGAGAAAAGAAAAATTCTGAATTGCAAGCTATGGTTAGTAAAGGCCATGGGAAACCATACCCCTATTTTTGCCAAGAACAAATAATTCACAGATAAAAATGGAATCTATGGATAATCATACACACTTATATCTTGATGGAACATGGCTATTCTTAAGTGTTGTATGGTGGGGTGTTGATGGGTATTAGCATGGAAATTGGAATTGGCAAACAATAACAACAAAGATGAGGATAATAGCCTGCATGTAAATCGTGTAAATAATATTTTGATACATTTGAACAAACATTCTGATTTTAGATGTTATTATCTTATTCTCTCTTTGCTTTCCCCCACTTTCTTTACCGTCTTATTCTTTCGTTATCTCTTTGTTCTCTTATTTTCTCACTCTTTCACTCTCAGTTCTTTTACTGTCTTTTATCCTCAAACTCTCAGTTTGTTTTTTCTCTCATTCTCTCTCTTTGCTCTCTTACTCTCTCATTTTCTCTCACTTTCTCATTCTCTCTCTTTGCTCTCTTACTCTCTCATTTTCTCTCACTTTCTCATTCTCTCTCTTTGCTCTCTTACTCTCTCATTTTCTCTCACTTTCTCATTCTCTCTCTTTGCTCTCTTACTCTCTCATTTACTATTACTCTCTCATTCTCTCTTTACTCTCTCTCTACACACTTATTCTCTAACACTCATTTCTTTCTTCCTCTCAGCTCTTTCACTTTCTTACTTTTCTTTCTCTCCCTTTGTTTATTCTTCCTCTTCCTTTGCTCTCTCTCTCTCTCTCTGTGATCGCTTTTCCTCTCGCATCTTGTGTTCTTAACTGTCATAAAAAATTTCTATCTCTGCTCTAACAATGACATCAGAATTTTACTAAATGGCTTCTTATATGAAACCAACATTTTTATTTGAAGGATAATTATCAAAGTAGACTGACTGTCAAACCTGTGGGTTGTCGACAAGATAAATATATAGAAACTGAAGTGTCTCATTGTTGCATATAGGAATAAAAGAGTTACAGATTCATGACACAAGTTTGTGGCTGATAAATTTTATAGTTACCATTAAATGAATTCTCTACTTTAGTATTTACCAGCAGCTCTATGGTAGGCAGGATGTGACACAAAGACTGCTTCATGTACATTCCCATGTTGGTTTAATGGGGTTTACCCATGTAATGTTAGTAACGTCATATAAGAATATATAATTACCATATTTGACAGTGTATGAGACACACCCCAATTTCAGCAGGGCAAATCAAGAAAAAATTAGTAATTAGTAAAATTATCAGTAAATGGTACAGCCAAGGCTATATTTATGAGGTATTATTTTGGTTAAACAAGTCATGATTACAATTAAATGAAAAATAATAGGAAAAAAACACAAGCCTATAAAATCTTTATTATATCCAAAGGTAAGAAAACAAAATAAAAATCAAGCAATTATTAAAACTGAGCAAAACAGTACAGCTACCATTAAAATTCAGTCAAAAATGTTCCTATATATGATCTTTACAACCTGTGTCTAGTAAACGTCTTAGTGGAATAATTAGGATATAAAAATTCTGATTGTATTTATGCCAATGTAACCGGGAATTATCGCAAGAAAAATATTAATGAAACAAATATATTTTACGAATATATAATTTGAATTTATTGCATATGATTTTAGTGAAACAAAGAACTAATATTAAACTTGATGAAATTAATATAATGAATATTATCAATGATAACACTTTTAATCCGCATAATAATAGCCTTTTAAATAATGACAATAGGTATATGAAAGTTACTGTAAAGTCTAAGTTAATAGAAGTTGCCAAGTAGCTAATTTCAGCCAACTATTGCAAATTTTAGACCTACATATGGCATATAAGATGCAGAGGGATTTTAAAAGATATTTTTAGTAAAAAATAGTGTGTCTTATATGCCATCAAATACGGTAAAGTTTTCCCATCTAAAAAAAATTGTTTATTCCTCTTCAGGACCAAATTGAGGGTATGTGGTTCCAGGTCTTTTTTCAAATGTTTGAACTTTTTGCAAGAGTGTGAAGGATTGATTTTCTCCTCTTGTAGGTCCGGCACTTGAACTCTCTGTTATTCAGTTGTTGTGTGCGTATATCCTATGTCCATCTGAGTTCACATCTTTGTTTATGTTGGTCATCCTCCAAGGGCCAATTCTGCACTTTGAGGCCACCTTGTAAGTCAGATCTTTCAGTACTTATTGAGGCTACTACAAATCAACTCAGAGCAAGCTTCTGAATGGACATGAAATTCAGTTCATTTTCCTCATATATATAAAATCATATATTATATTCATATGTGAGCATATTGGCTCAAGACAAAAATTCCACAATCACACTGGCACCAACCTACCTTCTTTAGTATACTGGGGGAGGTGTTGCCACAGGGTTGAATCCCCAGGTTCAATCATCCCTGAAAACGTAATGAGGAAGAGAACAGATATGTCACTTTGATCCCAGCCTGAAAGCCAGGAATATGGTACACTAAAGTTTTTTTTACATTATTGCTCATCCAACACAAAGCCCAAGAGCCAATCAAGGTAGAGCATTACTGAATGAGATTGTTTTATGGACGTAAGAAGTGGTAAAAATTGTATATTATGAGGATAAGTAGGATAGATAATGGTTAACCTTAGACAAGAAGTTAAAATTGTAGAGTTTGGAGAAGCATTCTCTTTGAAGTCTATTCTACAAAGCAACAGATCTTAGGAAGAAGCTGTTCAAATGGAACTTCCTTCTTACCAAGGAAATATGTAGGGAATGTGGTTAGTTCCCCCAGTGTACATGGTACGACAAATCTTAGCTGTAAAAGTCGGAACTGGGGAACATATCCATGCTAATAGTAGTGACATGCATGGGATATTGTATCTGTGGAAAGGGATTGTAGGTTGGAAAATAATTCATCACCCACAAGTTGGTGTAAATGCTTTTGAACTTTGACATGATTGGAAAGTGTGTTTTGGGCAGCTTCAGCTATGATATCACAACAATGCTCCATTTTTGGTCTAATCAAACTGTTGTAAAGATGAGTCATGACAATAGTACAAGAAACTGACCATTTTTCCAGCATCTTTTGTGATGGATTCTATATTTGAGGTTAAAGTGTTAAATAAAAGTTTAGTAGGCTATTACTTTTTAGAGGAAGTGTATCTCTGCTTGGGCTTCCTGAGCTTGACCTTAAGGATCAGATACAAGACAAAATAAGGAAGTCAATTTTGATTGGCTGAGCTAGTGTGGTAAAGAAGATAGAGAAACGTTTTTCAATGTAGATATGTTTTCTTTTGTGTTTGAAATGGCTCCCCAGTGGAGGGAGAGTGACCCAACTGAATAGTTAGAAATGTACACATCAACATGATTAATAAATAGTTAAGTTAAAATTCCCTGTGTTGAAGCTCTTTTATCTCTGGACTCAAAACAACTAGTAATCACCGGCCACGAGAGAAGAATTATCAAGTTGACACTGATGACCAAGACCACCCCCACCAGGGGGCTATGCAAGAAAATCAAGTGGTCACTTTAGTGTTCAACCATTTATCAAGAGAATTCAGAATCCCCTCAGGTTGATGGCAATGTCAAATTTGGTCAGTTTGTAGATAGGTGACCACTTGGGAATACCAGGATTCTAATCTTGGATGTGCAGGTGGTGTAATGTTCCTCTTAGGGGATCTCAAATTGCTAGGTTTTACTGACATAGAGTATTAAAAATTCCTCTTCTCTTGAACTTGTAGACTCCCAGTGTAGTATAGGGCTACAGCCTTATCACACAAGGTGTGGCTGCTGTGGTTTCAGTAGCAAGTAAATTTTTACAAGGTGGAGTTACCAGACTTATACCTAACTTGTTTGAATTCAGACTTGTCTATTTCCTCGGCTGGTAGCCAACTAAACTAAAGCGCTCCATCTAACCTGTTATTTAACCCATAGCTGAGGGGAGAAATGATTGATTTATGTTTCCAAAGGTCATTTGTGTGAAATTGAATGCAGTAGCTTTGGTCAGAATTTGAGATTCCTGCTCCTACTTTTTATGTTAATTATAACTGCTACGCTATGTTTACATCTATTGTGAATATGATGTTAAAACAAATTGGGCTTATAGCATTGAAACATCAGTTCCGGTATGATCATCACAGTTAAGCAACATCAAGCCAGGACAGTACCTAGATAGGTGACTGCTTGGGAATACCACGTGCTGTAAGCTTGGATGTGTGGTGGTGTAATTGATAATGGCTTGGAATAGTTAATCAAAGAGCAAAATTTCAATTCCCATTGGGTTTGTTACATTCTCTTACATATAAATACCCTCAAGAAAGGTATGAATCCACTTCTTCTCTCCCCCAGCTATGGGTTAATTAGTAATACTTAACCATTATTATCTCAAAAAAAATTATTCTTACAATCTAAAAAAATATTTTCTGGTGATGATGGAAAGTTACATACTTTGTTTTGAAGATATTGAAATTTACATGCCAATTCCCCTACCCCTGTTAGGTTTTTAGAGTGAAGTCAAATTATCTGCCAGGATCTGGTGATCTAGATATTTTGAGACATGCCCACCAGCTGCAGTATTATTTAAATAGATATTTACTCACAGATCATTTATGAAGCAGAAAGAAGGCGGGACTGACAAGAGAGCTTTGTGTAAGCAAAGAAATTATAGAAATTACCAGAAGACATGATTTTGAAAAGTGCTCTAAAACCTTTCAGGAAAGCATCCTGGGTAAGACAATAAACTACATCTGACAGCAAGGCCTTTGGTCAGGTTTTGAGGAGCATAGAACCACCTCTTAATTTCTGGTGTTCCCAGGTCCACCCTGACCCAAGGTGGTAGCATCAGTTAGGGTCCCAGCTATGGGCAAATAGTTAACCCCCAAACTGGGGTCAAAACACTATGAAAGTGTAAAAATAGGTTTTAATACCAGCAATATATTGTTGGAAAATTTTTTACCAGTAATAAATTTTTGAAAAAAAATATTACCAGCAATACATTTTTGAAAAATAATATTACCAGTAATAAAAATCTTGTCGGCATTAAATAACCCATTGAGGTGTTGATATGCTGTAAAACAAAAGAAACAAATCAAATCAAACCTTTCAGGAAATGCAGTGATCGAAATGATAAAAATTATTTCCAAAAATTTATACTTCAAAGAAATGTGCCATTTTTGCCCAAAACTCATATTTACCAATTTGCATGTATTTCCTCTATGGTACATAGACTTTATGAATTAAAGAGCATTACTAAATTGGCAGTTAGGTCTCATCATTTTAGAGTTGAAATTGGCTAGATGTAACCATGTTCTATGCTGACAGTTTCTTCTCTTGCACTTCTTATTTGTAAATCTCTTCTGGCTTCTTGCTTCAAAGTCAAATTTTATTTTCAAAAATTTAAATGCAGTGTCAATCATTATCTTCTTAATTCCTGTTTTTTTATTGTCTTCTCTCCTTAACAGTATATTTTCCTCATATTCTCTAAAATTAAGTAAACCTTTGTGTCTTAGTGGCTTTATTGTCTTTGTAGTGATACGAGCAAATTAGTATGCATAATTTGCATAGGCAGAAGTGAACATTCTTATAAGTGGTCACTGAGAATAACCACTAGCAGACTGATTAGTGCTGACCTCTACTGCACAACAGTCTTGCTTAGGATAAAATGATTAGAAAAATATATGTTCATCTATTCTGATTTACATATATGTATTGGGTCTTGGAGAGGAGACGGGCACTGCCATGCTCTATGGAAGGCCATTGAAAGGATGATGGGGAAGAAGAATCAGAGCCTATTTTTTCTGTCTTTGGGTTTTCTCGACAATTGAAGAAGTAGGAACCATTGATTTTGGAATTGTGGCACTCAATTTGAAAGTTGCAGTTTGACAACACAAAATATTTTTTTGCAATTTTTTGAGAAAACAAGTTTAAAGATGAAGTTTAAGTTCAAAATCATAGCATTAGAATTTCATTCCAGTGATCAGTGAAAGCCTTATAGTGCAGACTTATAAAATTTATAATTGACTGAAGCTTTACAAATTGTTTATGAACAAGATCAATGGCACAAGCACATTATTACTAAATCATTTTGCCATTGAATAAGACCTTCATTTACTTCAAAGGGAAACTATACTGAACAATTTAGCTATATTATTATGTAATATCTTATACAGTGCAGTAGTTATAGTGTGATTTTCAATAAACAATGCAAAGTTAAAACATTTTGTCTTATAATTTTTGCCCAGCAATATTATGGTGTGATATATACTTTTATCTATTATTTGTTTTTATTAATTAGGATCTAACAAATCTTATTCATCAAGTAGCCATTTTTGTAATCTTTTACAATTTTTTTAGTTTTTACTTATTGAATACAGTCAAAATAAACAAAAAAAAACTTTAACACTTAAAGTAGGCAGTTCTTATAATTAAATTAGTCATTATCAAAAGATGAAGTATTAGAGCAGGTTGAGTTTGGAACCATGATATTGAACTCAATTTAAAAGTTGAGGTTTCACATGATAAAGACAAAATTTTTTTTTTCCAAATCCTTACCATTTTTTGAGGAAATGAGTTTAAATATTGAGTTTAGGTTCAAAATCATAACATTGGAATTTCTCTCTGGTTATCAGTACTTCATGAATATGTACATTAAGGCAGGTCAATTTTAGAAGCGTGATATTGCACTCAATTTGAAAGTTGGGATTTCATGCTGGTGGTCAGTGAAAGCCTTATAGCGTAGACTTATAAAATTTATAATTGACAGAAGTTTAACAAATTGTTTATGAAGAAGATCAATAATGCAAGCACATTATTATTAAATCATTTTGCCATCAAATAAAACCTTCATTACAAAGTAAAATTATACTGAACAATTTAGCTATATTATGATGTTATATGTTATACAGTGCAGTAGTTATAGTGTTATTTTAAATAAACAATGCAAATTTAAAACATTTTGTCTGAGAATTTGTGCTCAGCAGTATTATGGTGTTATATATACTTTTATCTATTATTTGTTTTTATTAATTATGGTGTAACAAATCTTCCTTATCAAATCTTATTCATTAAGTAGCCATTTTTGTGATCTTTTACAATTTTATTTAGTTTTTACTTATTGAATACAGTAAAAATAATGCATTTTTTACTTGTAGTGATTTCTGCCTTTAATACTTAAAGTAGGCAGTTCTTATAATTAAATTAGTCATTATCAAAAGATGAAGTATTAGAGAAGGTTGAGTTTGTAACCATGATATTGCACTCAATTTAAAAGCTGAGGTTTCACATGATAAAGACAAAATATTTTTTTTCCATTTCCTTACCGTTTCTTGAGGAAATGAGTTTAAATATTTAGTTTCAGTTCAAAATCATAACATTGGAATTTCTTTCTGGTGATCAATGAAAGCCTTATAGAACAGCTTTATAAAGTTTATAATTTACTGAAGCTTTATAAATTGTATATGGACAAGAAGCAAAGGACATATACATTATTACTAAATCAATGTGTCATCAAATAAGACCTTCATTTACTTCAAAAGGAAATTATACTGAACAATGTATCTATATTATGATGTAATATCTTATACAGTGCAGTAGTTTTAGTGTGATTTTCAATAAACAATGCAAATTTAAAACATTTTGTCTTATAATTTGTGCCCAGCAGTATTATGGTGTTATATATACTTTTATCTATTTTTAGTTTTTATTAATTATGATCTTACAAATGAAGAAATCTTATTCAATGAGTAGCCATTTTTGTAATCTTTTACAATTATTTTTCCAGTTTTAACTTATCAAATAATGTAAGAAAATTGCATATTTTGCTTGTGATGATTCATAATTAGAATTCTAGTTTGAATATATTTTTCACTCAATGTATTTAATACAAAAGATATTAACTTTGTTTGGATTTATTCTTGAAATAATAAAATTTTGAAGTTAGTTTGTAAGCAAAATCCTTCAGAAATTAGGTATTCTGTACATTTTTTTTTTCAGACAATATTTACAACTAAATACTCAGAAATGAGTGAAAGCTATGAGTTTAATTTTTGGTGTCAGTACTTATCACATCAAACTCCAGCTATCACATTAAGTACAATGTTGATTTGCTAAAAGAAGTAAAAATTCAACCTGCTCTATTGTAGTAGGCAAGGGTATTATTATTATTATTATTATTATGATGTATTGTGTTGGAACAAAAGTTTAGGTGAATTTCAGTGACAATATTTAGATATTTGTACATAGATTTTATTCAACCACATATGTGCCATTTTGATCCACCATATTTCACCCTCTTTGAAAGAACTTCCTGATTCCATCCTCCCAAAGAAAAGTTTCCTTGATACCATATCTCTCTCTCTCTGCTATTTTTTGCCTATTTAGAGTAGTCAGTTTCACAAATGAGTATTATTTTTAAGAAGTCGCCATATTCCTTTTTATGACCCTCACCCCCTGCCAAGTCAATGAGCCAGATGCCAATTTGCCAAACAGGAAGATTTGGTGAAAGCAATGTATTTCCATCCTCAGCATATTGTAGAGGACCATGTGTTTACGCGTTGTTAAATTAGGAACACATGCTGTTTATTTCCTGCTAGAAAAAGGTCTAACTACAAGAACAATGTGGACTCAAGTTGAGGCCAATCGAAGATGTAAAGAAAACAAACAAGACTGATATATATATGCCAACAAATATATGTATTAAACAACAAATTTACAAGTGACAAAGATATCAACATTTGTGTTTGTGTATGAACATAAAAAGTTTGTATTTTGGTGAATGTTCGTATATACGTCTATGTGTGTTTCATAGTATTTTGCCACAAGTTGGCGAAAACGCAGATTTCTGTGTGAGATTACATTTTTAAATGTGTCCGCTGAAATGCAAAGTAAAAAGAGAACAAGGCAAGAAGTTGCCCAGTATTTATAGTGTAGGGAGAGTGACCCCTAGTGAACAATTAGGGAATTAAGGAGGAGCTAACTCCGACAATATGACCTGCCTATGGAATATGAGTCTATTGCTGTCTGCTTTCAATGCTGGTTGCTCTGGCTGACTTGCAGTCTTTGGGGTTAGCAATGAAGTCTCTCCATTTCAAATTTACAATGATATGAAGACACCACTTATACAATATTCATGAAGGCTCAGTTGGCACTGACCCTGGATTCAGATTGACATAGAAGAGTAGTTTTGTGATATCAACAAACCCACGTTGCC